TGTAAAACTTGGGTCGGCCATTTTGGCCCCTACCTAGCCCCGGGGGTTGATTTGAACAAACTTGAATCTACACTACCTGAGGATGATTCCACATGAGTTTCATCTTTCCTGGCCCAGTGGTTCTGGAGAAGAAGATTTTTAAAGATTTTTCCTATATATTCCTATGTAAAATTTTGGTCGGCCATTTTGGCCGCACCCTTGCCCCGGGGGTCATGATTTGAACAAACTTGAATCTACACTAGCTGAGGATGATTCCACATGAATTTCATCTTTCCTGGCCCAGTGGTTCTGGAGAAGAAGATTTTTAAAGATTTTTCCTATTTTTTCCTATGTAAAACTTTGGTCGGCCATTTTGGCCCCACCCTTGCCCCGGGGGTCATGATTTTTGAATCTACACTACCTGAGGTTGATTTCACATGAGTTTCATCTTTCCTGGGCCAGTGGTTCTGGAGAAGAAGATTTTTAAAGATTTTTCCTATATATTCCTATGTAAAACTTTGGTCGGCCATTTTGGCCCCACCCTTGCCCCGGGGGTCATGATTTGAACAAACTTGAATCTACACTACCTGAGGATGATTCCACATGAGTTTCATCTTTCCTGGCCCAGTGGTTCTGGAGAAGAAGATTTTAAAAGATTTTTCATATATTCCTATGTAAAACTTTGGTCAGCCATTTTGGCCCCACCCTTGCCCCAGGGGTCATGATTTGAACAAACTTGAATCTACACTACCTGAGGATGCTTACACATGAGTTTCATCTTTCCTGGCCCAGCGGTTCTGGAGAAGAAGATTTTTTAAAAATGCCATTAATTTTTAACAAATTCATGATTATCTCCCCTTGGAAAAGGGTGTGGCCCTTCATTTGTACAAACCTGAATCCCCTTCACATAAGGATACTTTATGGCAAGTTTGGTTGAAATTGGCCCAGTGGTTCTTGAAAGAAGACGAAAATGTGAAAAGTTTACAACGACGACGACGCCGACAACGACGACAACAACGACAACGACGACAACGACAGACAACGGACAAATTGTGATCAGAAAAGCTCACTTGAGCCTTTGGCTCAGGTGAGCTAAAAAGACATAATTCTGACAAAAAGCAGAATGAAAAGCAAACCTCAGCATGATCTTAACTCATCAAGATACACTTGTATACCAAAAATTATCTTATAAAGTTCTGCAAGCCTTAGGAACAAGAGATATTTGTAAAACACTTATAACCACCTCTCCCAAATAATTGGAATTTTTCTAAGTCGAAGGGACATAACTCTCTCAAAAATGGCTTGATCATACCCAAAACAGAATTTGACCTAGTTATTCTTATGATAAATCTATATACCAAATTTCACTTCATTACTTGCAACCTCTGCAAAGAAAATAAATGGAAACTGCAAATATAACTGGTTATCAACATTTATTGCTTTTGAAAAAATAAGTCAATTAAACTTGAGATCAAGGGGTTGAAAATCATAGTGTATTTGAAGAGATCTTGAGATATATAGGTACATGTAATGCACATGTGAAAATGAAAGCCACATCTCTTCTTATTCAAAAGTTATGACCCATGTTAAAGTTTTATTTGCAACAGGCAGATTGACACACAAAATAAATTTAATGTTCCCTCTAGCTTTCCTTAACATTATTTCAAGATGAATATGAATGAATTGACAATAGTTTTTCTACATGTAGCTTCTTTGGGAATATATTTGATAAATTCCTCATTTTTCTAATTTATAGATGTTACTTTGGAGACTGGCTCATTATTGCATCACACGATCTTTTCTGTAAGTAGTGCTCTATTTGTTAAAAGTAATGGAGCCGAGGCCAATTACTTTTAAGGAATGGAATGCTATGAGTATATTAACCCGCTTAAAATCCACCTGTTTAAATGCTTGTATACAAGAATAATTTAAATGATACACTGTAAATATATATTGATTCTTATCTGACATAATAGGCACAACAATTTTCTTTATGTCAAAATAAACTTGATTTTTCATCAGAACAGATTTTTTAAAACTTATTTTGTGTTGTTTTACTGGTAATTCAGATATCCGGACGCTTCACATATCCAGACAAATCGACTAGGAACCAAAGTGTCCGGATAAATGAGGCTCCACTGTATATGGACAATGGCCACATAGCAATCCAATAAGTTATCCTTTTCTTTGGCCAGTTCAACTATTTAAACATTAAAATAGTGACTAGTTTATCATTTAACAGGTCATAATTTATATGACAGATGCCACACACATTTTGATCAGAAAAGCACATCTAAGAAGAGGTGAGCTAATGAAAATCATAAGATACTCTTTCTTTCAATGTTCACATTTTTGCATGGTTTTTAACACTTGAAGAGAAAGTTAAAAATAAAACTTGACTTACCTTCTACCTTGAACTTAAAAAAATTTTGTAATTTCTGAAATTTTGCCATTGCCCACTGAAATGCATAATGACTATATTTTATACCTAATTACATGTTTCCATGAATTTCTCTGTGATGCAATACAGCCGAATATGTTTAAGCTTAGTAAACATCATCTTGTCCTAGATAAAGTATTGTACTTTGATCATCTGATAGTGCATAATGTATTTCATAAATGATAACTGGTTTACATTATATATTGGTGAAAACTAGAGCTGTCCAAATTAGACAATACCCCCTCTAGAATTTTCAGAACAGGTACAATGTCACTTTAAGTATTTTTTGGATTTTGAATATTTTCACATTGTTAACAATGATGGTAAAAATTCATTTGTGCATTTTCTTTTTATGAATGACAATCAAATATAGCCACATTATTATAAAACATCAAAATACATATGTGCTTATCATCACATTGTTTTTCTTCTTCTTATTATTTTTAAAAAATAAATTAAATAAAACAAGAAGTCTGTGAGTCAATGCTCACTAATAATATCCCTGCTCTGATGTGAATATACTCTATCAATTGTGTTAAATTTATATACAAGTTCAGTTACAGGGTGGGAATGGATTTGAACAAAAATGAATCCTACCATAAGGCATGCCTCAGCAAAGAATATGCTAAAATTTCAAGCATCTGTGACGAGTAGTTGCTCAGAAAACTGCAATGAAATTTTTTATGTATGGTATGGGCAGATGCATAGATAAACAGGTAGTTGACATCAGATTTGAATATTAAAAATGAATCCCACCATATGGCATGTCTCAACAAGAAAGTGCTAAAATTTTAAGGAAGTGCAATTAGTTGCTGAAAAAACTGTGTCAAAAATTTGTTCTGTATGGTATGAACAGATCCATGGATAAACAGGAAGTTGACATCAGAATGATTGGATATGAACAAAAAATGAAGACTAACTATACAGCATGTCTCAGCGAAGAAAGAGCTAAAATTTCAAGCATCTGCAATGAGTAGTTGCTGAGAAAATGGTGACAAAATTTGTAACGAACAGACAGACACACAAGGTTATAACAGAATACTTCCTCTCTTTTGGAGCATGAGTATAAATTTTAAATTATACAGTTTCAATCTCATTGATATATAAATTGTCAATATAAACATTGACATTGATTTGCTTTATTAGGTTATTCTAAATTTCAAGCGCAAGTCTCAGTACGTCATGCGTGAACTGTCATGGCAGCTGAATAAGGCACACAGATTTATTTTACATGGTTTTCGCGTTTAACGGGCTATGATGTCGACAGTGAATAAAAATTTCATCTTATTAGAAGTAAGTTGAATGCAAAAACAATTTATTCTGCCTGTAGTCGACCGTATTTATAAAATATTTTTGCACCATTACAGAGATGCTGTGGAATTGTAGCCCTCTCCAGAAAACATCAGATAAAAAAAAATCGGAGAGGGCTACATTGTTGCAGCTATATAGCTAGTGCTAACACACTCAAAATTTCAATATCACCATGAAGATTTCAAATACACTAATAGACTAATAAGAAAGGCACAATAAAGAGGCTCAACCAGAGACAGCAGAAAGAATTGAAAAGAAAAGTCTCTTGAAGCTAACATTGTCATTTTAAAGTAGGTTAATGATTGATTTAAAATCAAAATATGAGCTTGAAGTGGGGGTGTCTGAAAATGAGTTAGGTACCTTGTGGTAAAAATAAGTAGGGGTACCCCATATACAAATCAAGTGCCTATGTACCCATAAAGTTGGGAAGGTTATAGAGGGAAAACAGTGCCTTATGCTGGTTGACCCCGGGTCAACCCTGCAAATGGCAATAACTTTTGTAAACGTGAAAGTCGTCTATTCTGATGTTCTTAAAGCATTGTGACATCACGTTTAATGCAATGTTTACGGAATGGTGTCTTAGTTTCCTCTGCAGAGATGTGTCTAAATTGGGCTGAAAATAGTTCATTTTGGAGGTCAGATGTAAATACATTTTGCAGGATAAACAAAATACATGGTCATTATCTTGAGATATAAGCGATATTTGGGTTCTGGTTGAAAACATGATGGAGGGCTCGGCAAGCCTAGCCCTTTATCCTGCTTTGTTACCCTTACCCAAATATCACTTATATTTCAAGACAATGATGATGTATTTTATGTTTACTCTCTTCACAATATAGAGGAGAATCAAAACTAAAAACTGATGGAAATAAAATTAATATAATGAAAACCAACTCTTGTATATCAACTTCTTAGTTCGGATTAGGGCAGAAACTTCAACCAGCTTCAACATAAGTACTAATTATTCATTTAGTTGTCATGATTAAATATGACTGACATAAGTTATCAATATCATGTACACCCTTACAGTCTATCTCAACTGTTCTGGTTAGTGAAAATGCTTGCTGTTAAAATGAAAAATATGATTACAGATTAATAGGTAAAAAATATTCAAAATAATATAATTTTTCAACTACTCTAAATAATTTGTTTCTAAATAAAGATACTTTGTTGAAAAAGTGCACTGTAAAACCATGCATAAATGTGAAATTTGATAAAAAATTTTCAACGTGGCACATGGAGGCTACCATTTTGCAACTCTGCATCAAGAGTTGACTGCAAACGACAATTTAACAATCTTCGAAAAAAGAAATTAAACTTCCTTTAATTAAAAAAAAAATATTTGGTTATAAATACTCTTTGAAAAAAATTTCAACTGCTGTATAATTTTTTTTCATTTTTATTTTCTGCTGAATCTTACATCCGGTACTGCAAAATGTCGTCTTCCTGTTTTGGACAAATGTTTTCATTTTACAAAATCTTTTTACAGCAAGCAAGAAACTGTTCAACCCGCCAAGTATACTCATTATATACCAAAATATTAAACAGTAAAATTTCAAGCGTAATAAGATTATAATTTGGATATAAGAAAGAGATTTTCATTGCATTTGACATTTTTCCTCTTCGATGCAAACTATACAGTAATCTCGAATTTCCTCAATGTTTTATAAAAATATATTTTTAGAAACCTGGTTTACCACAGTACGTGAAGATTGTTGAAGTTGGACCGAGGGATGGACTTCAAAATGAAATGGTGTGTAATTATGCAGGGTTCTCCACATTTGAAAATTTAACCATGGAGGAAGCTGCGTGAAGACAAAATGTGACCGAAAACACGAATGCGCGTTAGACTACCTAATCTTCATTAATCAATGACTGGTTTTACAATTTGTAAACTTTACCATTGCAACACAAAACAATGGAATAACTAACTCTGTTTAAAGTTAAAAAAAAAAAAAAAAGAATTAAAATTGAAAAGGATTTATCCTGTATAATTAAAATTGAAAAGGATTTATCCTGTATTTTACCTCACAAATGTACCAGAATTTGCCCAAAAACTGTAGTAATCTTCCGAAGGAATTAAAAAAAAATTGTTGATACATTAACCAGGGCAATATCATTCAGAAATTAATAATTGTAAGAATTGTTGTAGCCTGTTGTATGAAATGTTTTGTTTAAATATGACTAAAACTGATGAATTAGTGTATTTTTTTTAAGTAAACACACAAAGGAACAATTGGATAAGTGTCCTTTTTTTTAAGCATTCTGTTTTTCTAGATAATGCGTTTTTCACCAAGTTTTGTTTACTTCTCCATGTGCCCCAGTGCTAAAAATAGCGCCACGCGACGTCTCATAACAGCTGGAAGTAACTCTAAAAATAAGACGGCGATTGACACTTAGGTCCTATGAACGATAATAAAGTTAAAGCTTAAAAAACATAGCATGGGAAATTGAATACAGAGGAATATGAATTTTTTACAAAGTATTTTTGGGCTAATATCATCAAGATTGCCGACGTTAAAAAAAACTATTTAGTTTCGACTGCCCTGGCTCGGATGCGTGTCTACTACGAGACATCATTACTATGTCTTTGAATTCTTGTAAATCTTTTAATTATTATGTAGTGAACTGAACACAGTTAGAATTCAACAAAATAACGTGTAATACAAAAATACAGAGCCCCGTTAACAGTAGTTTATATAGTAGATAACTACTCATACTGTTAAAACAGCCGACCTTCAATTCATGAATTCTCACGCTTCACGGCACATTCGCAGCTGATCGACCGTGGGTAATTAGGCCTAGGTACTGTTCTAACCATAATTCAGCACTATTACCTGTCCCTGTGCGCTTGGGGGGCTTCACACCACATTGTATAAACACAATTAACTACTCAGATAGTATATTGCAGGTGTCATCTCTGAAAATGCAAGTTTTAAATTCTAAAATTTAACCGTGGCGGGCGCAGATTTTAACCATGGCGCAGCAAATTTAACCATGGCGCACACAAATTTAACCATGGCGCACCTCCATGGTAAAACCCCTTGTGGAGAACCCTGATTATGTTGCTTTTATATACTGAGGAGAGAGATAATTTTTTTCGTGATATCTCATTACTTAACAAAAATTTCATTATATGTTCTACGGTGCAACCGTTGGGGCAAGTGCAGTTATTTTCTATCAAAAACTTTTACACAGCTTTTACTTGCACTGCCTGTCCTCAATTCAATTAAAAAAGAAGAAAAGAATAAAAAGAAATCAATTCCTATGCATTGGGATCAAGATTCCGAACTTTTCGGAAGTTTCTGACAAAATCGGAAATACCCGAGTCGTTTAAATGACGAAAGTATGACGTCAAATGCAGACGATAGTTTTGTGGCATGGAGATTGCATTAAATCGTTGTTTGTAATTTTTTCAAGTAAGTTGTTGCTATGAAGGATTATTCGGAGTTCATACATGCCAACTTTTGAAAATTCCCATGGGGGATTTAGCGCGTGACAACAATTTTCAAAGCTTTAAATTCGCGACATTTTGTCGTGAAATTAAATGATTTTGAAATGATCTTTTTTTAAATTTATAATATTGATATTACTTTATATCAATACAACTTAAGAATTAATTTAACACAAAAAATAATGTTTTTCTTTCCAAAATTGAAATATTTCTGCTAAAATAGGTGCCTCTTTCACTTGAGAAGGGGTATTTAGTTACATATGTAAACAACATTTTTTTTTTACCAGAACACATAATTTAGTGAAAAATTGAAAATTGTACAACTTTTAAATCATTTTCTCAAAGGCTAAAAAATATGAGGTTTTGATACTGTAAAGTCCTGTTGCTGGAAACATTTTTGAGATTTTTTATATATAATAGAAATTCTAATTAGATATTAAATTTACAGAAATTTATACCACCTATTTAAAAGGAAATTATTTTTTTTTTACAGTCATGAAATTTATCAGGGTTGATGGCGCCATGTGGGTATTTCCTTAAGTCATGCACATTACTTTTGGGAGAAGGGAGGGAAAAGAAATTCTAATTGAAATACACTTGATTGTTTCATCTAAATTTTTTCATAATATTTTAATTGGCAACTTAGAAATATTTTTCATTATAGGTAGATAAAATCATCAGCTATGCTTTGTAGTTTTCTACTTTCGTTTTCAAAAAACGATCTCTTTGAATTCCGATTTTATGGTTTAATTAGTATTTTATTGTCTTTAATTTATGTTTTTAATAAAATGACTAACAGTTATCACGTTAATCTATGTGTTTCACCTTGCATACCCCTTAAAACTGACAAGATAATCCCCCTAATTGCCCCAAGCTATAAGCTACTCGTACCTGGACAACTGCGTGCGTTCATGCGTGAAGTGATTTCCTGTGGCTAATTAGTAATGAACACCTGGTTAGATAAACAATGAAACTTATCTGTGTGCATTGAATATACAAGTCTGACATTGTTATTCCGATTGTCAAAATTCAGCGGTAGGGAAACTTTTAAAATCTGAAATTTTAAGGTGATTTTTTTTTTTCAAATCGGGAAATAAGCGCAATTTTTCTCTCCCGATCGGGAAGGCGGGATGAAAGGGTAAAATGGGGAGGATCCCGCCTAAATCAGGAAAGTAGGCATGTTTGTGGAGTTTGGAATTTTTTCACGCGGTGATATAAAAATTTCTTGGAACAATGTGCAGATTTCAACCCAAATTTCCTCCGTTCGCACACGTTAGTCTATTGAGCTCGCTACACGAGCGGCGAAGCGCCGCCTCGCTGCGCTCGCTATTACAGAGTTCCCGAAACGCACCGGTCCACAGGGGATCCCCGGTAAACTTTGAATGGGACCGGTAAAATCTTAATTTTATCAGTCAAAATGTCCGATGGTTTTTTTACAGACTGTATAACAATTACACATAATCTTAACAAAATCATTAATTCAATTGTCCTGACAATAAACAAATGCAAAACTAAAGGAAATAAAAAAAAAACGTCAGGGGCGCACCAGATTATTATCGTGCATTCTTGTTTAATAAAATGTAGATTGTCTACTATAAAAAGATACATGTTAAAATAATAATCTCCATAAGTCTGGGAGGAAAAACAGGTAAAACACTGTCAACAAATATTTTTCCCTCTTTATAAGTAATTACATGCACTCTGTAGTTCTGACAGTAAAAAAATGTGACAATCTACTTTCGTTTTGCAGGACGTATTTGCAGGGTTGCAAGAATTGCCTGCTCTTTCTGCTTGATTACAGACAATTTGTTACCATTTATTATTTCTCTATAATTTAATCTATTAGCATGATTAATATTATACCAACTTTTGGATTTTTTCAATGTATTTGATAGCATTTAAAATACATGCGCGTTTTTCCCCTTTTCTAAAAATAGCGGACTGACTTTAATGTAATAAAAGTATAAACGACAACAAATTCACTTAAAATCATCATTTTCATGATAAATTTGCACATTATTATATCATTAGTACATATTTTTAACCGTGTGTATGATACGTTTTAACTAGTCAGAAATATCTGACGTTTTCCAGGCTTTTTAAAATGATTTTGATATTTTACGTAATATTTTACCTGGCACATAAAATACCAAAATCCTAAATGAAAAGCCTGGAAAATGACGGATATTTCGGACTAATTCCAAACAATCAACCAAAAGTTGTCATGTTGCAGATTTTATTTTAAATTATTTTTTAAAATCTGTCATAAAGGACAAAATAATTTAATACGATGAATTAAGCGTTGGTCATCACACACCATCGGCGACGTCAAATCCCGCATACACAGGCTTAATAGAAAATATTTTAATAAATCTAAAAAAAATAATCTGCATTTGCCATCTTTTCATTTACACATATTATTTATTATATCGACACAATTTCCAATCCTATAATATGTTAAATTTACATGCAAAAAATTAATGTCCGGTAAATTTTACAACTGTCCGATGAATTTTGAATATTAACAGGACAATTGTCCGACATATTTTTGACTAGTTTCGGGAACTCTGCTATTATTATCAAAAGCAGACAAATTTCTCTGGTTAATGTCTAATGAAGACAATCTAATTATTACCAAGCTAAGTGAATATCTTATCTAAGCCTTCAAAATAAGGCATAATGCCATGAGTCCTCATAAATGATGTTGTAGACACATATTTATTTGTATACTGGTATATATGTATATTGATAATATTGATTTTGATTGCATGCTAATTAGTGATTTGATAACCCCCACTGCTGCATCTACAGGTACT